TATTTGCTGGTACATCTCCATCGGCGGTATTATCTGGAAAAGTATATAAAATAAATAATTCGAAAATTTGAAAAGTGAAACTATTAAGATAAAAACATATTAAATATTTTTACCCTATTTGGTCGTTGACACCACTTTGTTTCATTGCTTTAATCTGGGCATAGTACCCACAAAAATAATTCACTGCAAATTGCATGGCTGAGCAACAGTCCATTAGAGAATCAGCAACACGCTCAAAAGTAAATTTCTTTCCCTTGTTGAAATACTCCCATATTCTTTTCCAATACCCACTACTTTTTTGCTCATCTCCATTATCTGCATCTAAGCAAACATTGAGCCAAACAGACACAAGCTGATTGTCTTCATCGATTGAGAAGTTACGAGATCTTTGTTCCATTTTGATGGATTCTATTTGAGCAGGAATTTGAGTTGATAGAAGAGATTCATTGGAAGATTTATCAACCGACATGTAGCCATGCGTTGAAAAGGTATCGATAGGGTCTGCATCGCTTGTATTCTCTGTGGTCATTATGCCTATTGGTCTCCACAGGCTAATAGATTTATCACTTGCAACATCATCTTCCCTAAAATTTATTGAGTCTGGAGTAGAAGGAGAAGTTGTAGGACTTACAATTTTACTTCTTTTGGACATTTGTTTTTTCTGAAGTCCCCACCACAAACATTGTATTGTCCTTCAATACTTCTTGAGAGTTAAGGGAAAACACTAATAAGAAATCGCATCTAAAGGTGGATGGAGCAAAAAAAAAATCCGTACAAATAAAAAATCCCTACCATGTTTCCCTACAAGTATTACAAGGCACAATCCAAAAAGGATTCATAGCCTTTGTTACACATGTTAGTCCAATCATGTAATAGAATGAGAAACCAAAAATAAAAGTCTGCACATAAAAAGAATACTAAATTGTAAAATGCAAGAAAAAATCTAAAATTTCCATTCTGAAGTTTAAACTCACCTCCAGAGGATTGCAATTTGCAAATTCATAGATCTACAATATATATGAACTTTATTGTGACAAATAACATCAAACTCCTTAGCCCAGTATTTCTCAGATTGAACCTAACAAGGAAGTTTTCTTGGAGGATACATGATTGCATAAATA